AGATGATGGAGGTGGTACTGGAAAATTTCATGTACTAACACGTAAAGGACACTACCAGAGAGAGAGGAGAGGATGAAGCAGCGAGACTGGACCTAGTATTCACCTTGAGTAGTGCAGATATTGAGGACATCACATATGAAAGACCCCTTAGGGCCAGCGATCATATGGTTTTAAGCTTCGAATACACAGTAGAGCTACAAGTGGAGGGGGAAGCAGGAAGCGCTGGGCGAGTGAAGCCAAACTACAAGAGAGGGGACTTCACGGGAATGAGGAACTTCCTGAACGGGGTTCAGTGGGACAGAGAACTGGCAGGGAAGTCAGTAAACAAGATGATGGAATATGTAACAACAATATGCAAGGAAGGTTAAGGGAAATCGTTCTGACGACACTGGAGGACAGGGGGGTTTTAGGGGAGACCATGATAACAACATACAAAATACTGCGTGGAATAGCCTAGCAAGTGAGGTAGTGGAGGCAGGAACCATACATAGCTTTAAGATAAGGTATGATAAAGCTCATGAGCAGGGAGAGAGAGGACCCAGTAGCAGTCAGTGAAGAGGCAGGGGCAGGAGCTGAGTCTCGGCCCTGCAACCACAATTAGGCGAGTACAATTAGGTAAGTACACACACACACACACTCACACACACACACACACACACACACACAGTTTTAAGACGAGTTTGATAAAGCTCATGGAGCAGGGAGAGAGAGGACCCAGTAGCAATCAGTGAAGAGGCGGGGCCAAGAGCTATGACTGGACCCTGTGACACAAATAGGTGAGTGCACACACATAAACGATCACCTCGTCAGCAACGGTGAATCCTCAACCAAAAACACAAAAAAGCTAGTTATGCTGGAAGGAAGCAGCCTTTCCAATTCAACTCAGGATATGGATAATATTTATGTCAACAGAGTCCATCGGGCTCTGTTGAATCGGGGCCAGGACCAGTAATGGCAAACGGGTGCCACTGCTGGACCCTGGCCAGCAATGGCACCCGGAAATTGAGTCTGGCTCTAGGTCTCTGCAAAGAACTATGTCCATGCAGAGGTCGCCAGGAATCACTACCACAGAGGAACCACGACGGAAGGGTGGTGCCTCATCAGACATAAATGTTAAAGAGATATGAAGTGAGAGAAAGAGAGCAGCGCAAAAAGAGCAAAAGAAAATTGGGAGACTAACAGCTGATTAGTAAAAAGAAATAACTGCCCTATCACAACAAGAACAAGCAGTTGAAACCTGATTTAGGAGACCAACCTCTAACTTTTACAGGGCACATGCACAGGCTGGCATTGCTAGAATTATCAGTACAAGGCTTGTCAAAACCACTTATTTAGACCGGAGGCACAAACGCAGTTTGTGCGAATGGGGTGGCCCGTGGCCCATGGTAGGCAAAAACTCTCATTTCACACACTGAGGTCGTGGTTCGATTCCCGGCAAGGGTTTAGAAGCACTGGCGTGTCACCTTACACCTGTCGTCCCTGTTCACTGATCAGTAAAATGGGTACCTGGGTGTTAGTAGAATGGTGTGGTGTCGCATCCTGGGACAAATTGACCAAATTTGCCCTAAATGCTCTGCATAACAAGGGGCTTTCTCTATAGTAGTATGTTATTTATGTCAGCTAGGATTGTATATCTTGTACATGTTCTTGTAGAAATAGAGGATATTATTAATGAATAAAAATGTGCGAAGGTGACAAGTGAGTGAAGGGCAGAAGTGTGTGTGTTGTGATGGAAGGGTTTAACGGGGCAGGAGAGTACAAGAGGAAACTCTTGGTGTAATAAGTTAATTTCTGTTAAAACGATCGGAGAGTCTGCATCAAAGGTGGAACTCTCAGCAAATAGACATAAGAACATAAGAAAGGAGGAACACTGCAGCAGGCCTGTTGGCCCACACTAGGCATGTCCTTCACAATACATCCTACTAACATAATAAACCATACCACGGGCGGATTTGAACCCGCGGTCAGAAAGTCTCAAAACTCCAGACCGTCTAACAGAATAATTGCCCAACCTAATTTTCAATGCAATAGGTCAGTTAGAGATACTGTACTGGAGCAACGGAGACAACAGAAGCGAATTTTGCATGCCCTTTGATAGGCTGGGCAGTCTAATAGAACATAGAGAACTGATAGTGCAACCTGACAGTCCTCGCAGAATAGTGCTTAGCATTTTTCCATAATGTGTCTGTGAGAGAGACGCGTAGCGATAAAATAGACGGGAGAGTGCAGTCCCCCAAACACAATAGCTGGTGGAAGAAGACAGCCGGAAACCTAAATGTGGTTTGACATTATTTGTTGTGGACCAATTCGGACCAATGTTGTCGACAGCGGTTGCGGAGTTGTTGAGAAATCACTGAAAAATAGTCTGAGTAAGGAATACCCGGTGGGAAATTGAGATGTCATGAACAAATGACCAAGTGGCTGAGTCAGCTTGTTAGTTATCCCAATTATTATTATTATAATCAAGGGGGAAGCGCTAAACCCGGAGGATTATACAGCGCCTGGGGGGGGATGTGGAAGGCATTCAGGCTTAATTCGGGGAACTGGAGCACAGATCCAATTCCCTAAATCAAGAGCCCCTCACCAACATCAAGGAACCTTCCTTGAGGGGTAGTTATCCCACATCGATGTATCCATGGACCCAGCAAAAACTGTCGTTTTTGCATTACTATAAATGCGACAAACAAAAGATAAAAGCAAAGGATTACAGAATGAGGGCAAATTAATTTCTAGATAGCCTATAAAGTGCTGTGAGAATCCAAAACAATCACGAATGATGAACTAAACACTGACACAATGCGCATGATAGCCATAAGAATTGAATATATAACTTGCCTGTGAAAACACTGACCAAGTCTAGTAAATGTGAGCGGATGATTTTGTCAGGAAAAACTGTTGCATATCCAACACCATCAGGAAGTTTAGAACCATCAGTGTACACTGCAATAGCATGATAACGAGAATGGAGTTTTCAGAAAGAGCCAACATGAAGATACAGCAGGCAAGTGACCTTTCACAAACAAAAGCAAGGAAGATAAGATAAAATTTGTTCGGATTTTTAACCGGGAGGGTTAGCTACCCAAGATAACCCAACAGAGTCAGTGCGTCATCTAGGATTGTCCGTCTTATTTCCACTGGGGTCCTTCAGTCTTGTCCCCCAGGATGTTACCCATACAAGCCGACTAACACCCAGGTACCTACTTACTGATAGGTGAACAGACACAACAAGTGTAAGAAAATATGCCCAACGTTTCACCTATGCCGGGGATTGAACCACAGACACTCAGTGTGTGAGGCGAGAGTGTTGTCAACCGAGCCACGGGCCATGAATCGTCGGGGCTTCCAAGGAGGAAGAAAAAAGTAAAATGCAGGACGGACATAGAGTGTAGATAAATTAAGGAAGCCAAGAAAAAAAGGATACAGAGATAAAAGGGGCAAAATAAATGGGGAGACGAGTAAACTAAAAAGCCTTACTAACATCCGTTATTGTCCTACAAGGAAGGATCTTGAGGGTCTTAAGAACGACAGAATATAAGACACAATGGGGCGTCACACCAATATTGAGAAGATGGGATGGATTCCTCTGCATCAAGACAACTGGCGAAAAACGGAAAGTCCCGAGACACAAACGTAACCCCTGATGAATGGGATAAAGGTTAGAAAGATAAGATTCTTTCCCTAATCCTATCTATATTTGATAAGATTAGGGCAGAATGAAGGTGAACAAGGGTGCGTCTATCAGCCCCCCCCCCCGAGTAAAAAGCTAGAGTTTTAAGGAGGTTCAGGAGGCCTTGGTAAGCAACTATCGGGGAGTGGCTTAGTTAAGAACATTGCAGTACTGACTTTTTAAGTGGGACATGCCAGAGGTTCACCTATAAACATAGTAAGTTTGTGCTAGAAGTGTTAAGTGTTGCAGATTTGTTGTAACTATCTGCACGAGTGGATTTCACTGACTTAAGACACTGTGCTACCATCAGTACCTACGTAGGCTTAAAATGAGTGAGGAATGTCTGGCCTGTTGGGTGACCTTGAAAATGGCACTATAAGACCCGCATGCCACTTACACCCATACTGCGTGTGTCTAGTGAGGTGAATGTCCCTTCCTCGACTTTCCTATTCACCGGTATCCCTTAACTCGTCGCCATTATCTACATATGGGATAAGGGCGAGTTTAGCTGATCCAGGCTAAACAGCGCTCCAAGCCAGCCAGTGAAGGCCAAGTTACACTGCAGCTACATTTGTTCTGAATCCCAGAATGCCTTTGTGAACGTTCTAGTGTTCCGGCCGTACCTTCGGTGTTGTGAGAACTAGTTCTTATGTAGTGAAAATTTGTCTGTCATTCCAAGACACGTGTGCTAGATGTGTTAAGTGCTGCGGGTTTGGAGTAATTAACAAGTAGTACAGTGTTGGTAACTCTCGAGGACTTGGGTG